CACGGTCGGGGCCCGTGCCCTCGCTGCCGCGCACTGCGGGCGAGGCCGGTGCCCGCGCCGCCGCGCGCACCCCAGAAGCCCGTGGGGAACAACGCGTACGGACCTTGGGCCGTTGCACAGAGACACGTACACACATGACGACGCTGTTTGGTACCATGAGGCCCCCTTTTTGTCGTCGTCATCGTCGTCGTCGTCGTCGTCATCGCGATCGTCATCCTCACCATGAGCGTCGTCGCCATCGTCATCGCCATCGTCATCGTCGTTTCCATCGTCGTCCTCATCGACATCGTCGTCTGAATTATCATCGTCGTCGCCTTTGTAAATATCATCATCATGTGTGATAAACGCAGCTCGCACCAGCAATGATTGCTGCTTGTGCTATGCCATGTTTGTTGCTGGTGTGTGATGTGTGATTTGTGTTGCTAGTGAGTGCTGCGTGGTGGTTCCCAACGATCCCGTCGTGTTGGGTTCTCAATTTGCAGAGACACCACCTTGATGACGACGACGCCGTCGCCGTCGTCGTCGAGGCCCGGGGGAAGGGGAGAAGGAAGAGCGGATGAGGAACATCTGGAGGAGGTTCAGGGTCCTGGGGGGCTGTTTTGGAGTCGTGCTGGGTTGTTGCGGGCAAGACTCTTGCACCCCAGCGCGCGTGCACGCATGCTCAATGGCATTCCTTGCGCACGCGCGTGAGCACATGCACGCACTGCGGTTACCGTTTGAGATTTCACCAGTCGTGCAACACGCTGCGCGAGTGGCACGCGGAGAGAAACCGCATAAGCATCACCAAGAAAACAAGCCTGGCGGTGGAAAGAACGGCAACAGAAACGAAGGCGTACGGCCGCAAGGTGGCACGATCGCATGCGCACGCACACGCACATGCACACACATGCACACACACAAACACAAACACACACAAACACACAACACACACAACCATACACAAACATACGCACACACACACACACACTCACGCGCACGCACGCACGCAATCACTTTTTGCGTCGGCGGCGGGGCAGAGGGTGAGTGCTCCGGCTATCTGGCATCAAGGGGTCGCACTGTATGCAAATTAGTGCCGCGTTGCACGAGGGAGGATGAGGCCCTGGCGCAACGGGGAGCTAGGAAGCCGGGGCCGCTCAGGCAAGTCACTGGCTGCGGCAGGGGGAAGCGCCGTGGGGGAGACCAGCAGCGGCGCTGAGCAGCAGCTGGGGGGGGACGGCAGCCCAGCGGCGGCGGGGCGAACCAGAAGGGGGAGCAACAAATGCGATGCGGTGACCACACCGATGGGAGAGCCCGCTGAGCAAACGGACCCAGGGGGGCGTCGAAACGCCGAGACCTGGGGGCCTACGAAGCGCGGCGGGAGGCGTGAAGGGCGGAGTGCGGCTGTGGACAGCCGGGGGGCGGGCGGAACCCAGCGGCGGCCGAGCAGCGTCAGGAGGGGGAGCGGCACAGACGATGCGGTAGCACACCACCGGGGGAGCGGGAGGGGCGAACGGACGCCAGTGTGGGGGCGGAGCGAAGGGGCGGAGCGCCGGCAGGCCAAAGCTGGCGCACGGGGCGCGGCACGCGCCGGCCGGCGGAGAAGGCGGTGAGTGAAGGCAAAGGGGAAGAGCCACGCCAAGAAGGGGGGGCGGCGTGACCTGGGAGCACCAGCGGAGAGCGGGCGGGCGCCGAGGCCAGGGGGCCTGGGAGGCGCGGGGGCCGGAGGGCAGAACAGGGTGCCGCAGCAGCGAGGCAGCGGCCCACCCACCAGTGGACCGGCGGATGGCCAGGAGGCCGGCCTGAGAGAACCAGGCAGGCAAGCAGGGGCCCAGGCCAGAGGCAGCCGGGGCCGCCCGGACGGCGGCCGGGGCGGAGAGCGCAGGCACGAGCAGTCCTGCGGCGCGGAAGCGGGGGGGCGGCCAGGGAACAGGCCAGGAGCGCCTGCGCGGAAAGGGCGGCCCCCATCGGTGCAGGGGGGGCGGCCGACCAGTGCGGAATGGAGCGGCCCACCTGTGCGTAGGGGGAGCGGCCCGTCGGCGAGGCGCCTGGCGGAGAGGGGCGGCCCACCTGTGCCCAGTGCGCCTGCACGCACGCACGCACGCACGCACGCACGCACGAACGTATATACACACAAGCACACACACACACGCACACACGCACACACGCGCATACACGCACACACGCACACACACACATACACACGAACACACACACACACGAACCCACACACACACACACACGAACACACACACACACACGCACACACGCACATACGTACACACACACTCACGCACGCACGCACGCACACACAAGCACACACGCACACACACACACACACTCACACACACACAAACGCGCACACACGCAAACACATACACACGTGCAAATATGCACACATGTGCACGTACGCACGGGAACATACTGAGCAACCCGAATCCGCATAATATAGACTTAATGTGACGCTGGGCTACGGAACAATATGCTGATAACATGATGCGTGGTGACTTCGCCTGCCAAACGCGACTTGGTATGAGAAGTCTACCCGTCGGTCGGAAGTGGGTGTAAGCATGAAGTCTGAAGGTGCGGAAAGTAGATTCGGTCTCCGCCCGCCCCCTGAAGAGGAAGGACGAGAGGAAACCACTCGATCATTGAAATAGAAAGTCGCCCGACAGCTAAGGACACATCACGCGTCAATGTTTGAACATACCAGGGTACCCCTAGTCGGGAAACAAGAAATCCTTCGAGCCTGTCGGCTTGTGAGAAACGTTTTTCCCTTTGAGTTGTTGTTGTCGTCGTCGTCGTCGCCGCCACTCTCCCCCTTGCCCTGGGCCCTCCTCCGCAAGCGATCCAGCCAGAAAGGAAGTCGCGCAACGTCTTCACCGAGTCGAGGGGGAATCCCTCCCCCTTTGGATCCTTCCACCGCCAAGGCGCGGGGGTCCCGGGGCCGCAGGGAGGTGTCCTGCGGCCCCCCGAGGGGTCACGCGGGCCCCGGGGAAGGTTACATATCGCCTTCTGGGGTGATGTACGGCCCTGGGGACGCTGTAGTGGCCGCCGGGGGGGTCGTCGAGGCAGCGACCGAGGAGGAGGAGGAGGAGGCGGCAAGGGGTCGACGGGAGGGGGGGGGGGTGTCCAGGGGGGGGGGTCGCGGGGGGAGGTTCCCAGAGGAGGGGCGCCGGGGAGGAGAGGGGAGGGCCGCCCGGTCCTGGGCGAGGGCCCCAGGGGCTCCCCTCGCCGACCAAGAGGGCCCTAGCTAGATAGCCCCAAAAGCCACAAGAGGGGGAGCACCAACCGACATGAGAGGCCCTCTGTCCCGAGAGGCAGCCAACGAAGCCCCAAGAGGCGCCCCAGATCCCCCCAAGAAGGCCCCAACAAGAAGCTGCCCACGACGCCAACAAAAGCAGCCCCAAGAACACCCCAGAGAGAGACCCAGGGAGTCAACATCATAGATCTGATTTAAGGTTAGTTCTCGACTTTCAGGCTCCTCACGCTCCGAAAGGACCCAAGAGGCCCCCCAGATCGCTCCAAAACGGCCCAAGGCCTCCCCGAAAAAACCCACGACGGCCCAAGAAGGCTCTCGGGACCTGCTTGACTCACGAATAATCTGACGCAGGATCGGAGGGGAGGTTGCACGGAGCGCAGGAAGGGCGGACGCGCGCGGGCTGCGGCCTGAACGGAGCTGCGGCATCTGACCTGGCTCATCGTTTGCTTCTTCCGGGCGTCAGACTTGTGGGTTGCGGCTTTGAAGACCTGTGGGGATCGGGAGAATGGAAATGAGCAAGAGCGGGCGATGAGGCATGGACGGAGGCGGCAGGGAGGGCTGGCAGGAAGGAGGGCTGAAGGGAGAAGGGATGTGAGGAGGGGGAAGACAACATCCCACCAACCCTTTAAGGCGTGAGTGTTTTAGCGGGTCTCCTCTTCCAGCCCCACTTCTCCCCTTCGGGGAATCGGGTTTCTCTTTCCTTCCTCCGCCGATTACTCCTCCGTCCTCCTCCTCTTAGAGTATGACGGCTTCCCCAGCCTTGAGTCCACTCCTGGATGACCCTCCCGCATGGTCCCTCGTATGGGCGGCACGCTACGGCGCCCTCTTTGCTACTTACGTCTGCTGTTCACCGGGTGTGTTGCCGCCAGGGTGTAGCGAGAAGACGACGAGGCCGGCGGCGGATAGCAATATGAAGCCTGACGTCTTGGCACGACAGACACGAACACCACATGCAAGTAAGATGCCAACATACATACAGGCGGCGCGGCCATATGAACTGACAAAAGCTGCGAAACATCAAACACCGCACGACGTCACGCTGGCCAGACAAACACAGACAGCTGCCGCTGTTCTGCACGCCTCAAGCCAGCAAGCGTGAGCACCGTTGGAGATAAACACGGTAGAGGTCTCGGTGGGGATCGCTCGGTATGCGGTGCTTCTCTCTCCTCTGTGGGCCTCTGAGGACCTCTTCCTCGTTTGGCTCCCTTCGGGCACCACCTCGCCACGGCCCGACGCAGCTCGGAAAACGGGTCAGGATGGTGCCTGGGAGGCATCTTGAAGAGGATCTCCTGGCATGGGGCGGAGGACCTTGGCACTGGAGGGTCGGGAGGAGTGAGGAGTCCAGGCGGGACAAGGCTGTATCTTCGGCTCTTCCGGTCGAGTGGAACATGCATTACCCATGCCTTAGAGTCTTCTGGAGTGTGGAGATAGCCAGAGAGGGGGATGGAGCGGTTCGCTGACACAAGTAAATGGGGCATTCAGGTGCGTTTTTGCACGTGAACGCGTCCGACTGAATTGCGTGGACTGAGCACTGAGGCGCCTCTAAAGAAAAGAGTAGTCCAGATCACGCGGACAGAGCGCGCGACCCAAATGAATGACAAGATGCTTCCCCGCGGCGGCACCCATGGATACATTTACCTACGAGTGCATTGGCCTACTCCTCTTGTGCGGACATTCGTGGCCCTCCGCCCCCCCGCCGACACCGAACCCGTTACAGCCCAACCCGGAAGTCTTTAGATGGAAGAAGTTGGTGCAGGGGTGCTGGCTGCAGCACGTGTTAGAGGCTTCGCGTATGGGGTACTCGCCCTTCGTCAGGATGCTGCACTTCTTGTAGCACAGCCCCAGCAGCCCCTCCTCGTTGGGATCGCACCTGCCTGGAGGATGCGGGGCCTTACCGTCTCCTCCGACCATCATGCCGTGGCCGGGCCACGGCATGGAGAACCGGACGTCGTCGGGGTTGAGGCAGCTGAGCGACAGCTCCTTGCAGCAGCCGTTCGGGGCGAAGCGCGAGGGGAACCTGCCCTCCGTGAGGTCGCTGCAGGACTTGTAGCACTCGCCGAGGAACTTCTCCTCTGAATAAATGCACACAAATAACAGGATTCCCCGTATTTTCCCATATTTTTTGGACTTTCGTCCTCCCCCCCCCCCCCACTCCCGATATTTTCGCATATCTTCCTGGGGACTCGACGATGAATTGTGTCTGTGTGTTTCTTTCCCTCCCGATCCTCGCCGTCCTCGCACGCGGCCTCGCCCGCGGCTCCGGCCGCGCCTCCCGAGGGCGAGGCGAGGGACGCGTTGGCCGACGCGTCCGCGACGGGCAGGCCGGGGAGGCGGTCGTTCTCCCACAGGTCGCCGTCGCTGTACAGGAGGCTCTGCCGGCCTCCGGGGAAGCCCAAAGTCAGATGGGAAAAAACACACAGACACAATCAATCCTCGATTCCCCAGAACACATGGGAGAATATGGACAGTGGGGGGGGAAGACAGAAGCCCAGAAAATATGGGAAAATAGGGGGGATGATTTTATTTGTGTGTATTTATTTGAATGTCCTGGGGCCCCTTCAATAAGGAACTGATACCGCGACTCCCCCGCTCGCCATCGCTCGGACGTCCATTCCCTGTGTTTGTGTTGCCGGTTTCGTGCGTGGTGTTTTCGCCACATGATCCAGGATGCTCCTCGATGGCCCTCGCTGAAGGAAAAATGCACACGTCCGAGCGATGCCAAGCAAAAGGAACTGATCCCACGACTCCCCCGAAAGCCTCCCGAGGTGCGCTCTGACCAGAACTTCGAAGCGAACCCAGGGGTGGCGACGAGGGTCTCCGGGAGGCCAAATCTATGGAAATCGATGCAAGGATGGGTACCTCTGGCCATCGCTCGGACGTCCATTCCCTGTGCTTTTTTCCTGTTTCGTGCGTGGTTTTTTCGCCAAACGATCAAGGATGCTCCTCGATGGCCCTCGCTGAAGGAAACATGCACACGTCCGAGCGATGCCAAGCCCGAAGTCTCCCGAGGTGCGTTCTGACTGGAATTTCGAAGCGAACCCAGCGGTGGCGACGAGGGCCTCCCAGGAGGCCACATCAAGGGAACACGATGCAAGGATGGGTACCTCCCCAGAGATCCGATGTCGTGTTTTTTTCTGCATGCGGGGCCCCCAGAAGACTTGACCCATTCCCGGGGACCGGCTTTTCACAGAGATCCGATGTCGTGCTTTTTCCATACGGGGCCCCCAGAAGACCTGACCCATCCCCCGGGACCGGCTTTTCATCCCGAATCGTTGTTGGACGGTCCCGAGGTCGGCGAGGTCACCTCTGGGGGCCGACATGTGCGAAACACCTCTGCCTTGACTTTTGTTTTTCGATGCGTTGGAGCTCTGGGCCTCCCTCCCCTTGAGCAGGCACCGACCGTCCAGGCATTTGTAGTCCTACCACGAAGTGCTCTTCGAACCCAAAACTGTTCTAAGAACACAAACAATGTTCTCAGAACATACGCCCGACGCTTTCGAAGAAAAAACAGGCTCCGCCAGAAATGTTCTGAGAACGTTTCGTGGAAACCACAGAAAAGGCTCTGAGAACATTGTTTTTGGTGGGGCTGTAGGCGAGCCAGGACGCTTCGCCACTGCTTGATCGGGTCGGGCGAAAGGGGGGGATAGCAGAGGGGAATTTGAGAATCAGCTCACGTAGCTGATTTTCCCGGCGCCTCCCGGCGCCGGAGGCGGCCATGTACCGAGGAATGGGCCCCTCGGTGGGGCCGAAACCGGCTGCATGCGGCAGATTTCGTAACCCTCCCTTTCCCAATCCCCCCCTGTCGTAACCAGCCTCAAACATATCCCTATCCCTAAGAGGGGCGAGCACAAAGCGAGGACAGTCTTAGGGATAGGCCCTCAAAAACGGGGGGAATCCTTGAGATCGGCATCGAGGTGAGGTGATGTCAAACATAGGGATAGGGATATGTTTCAAACTGGTAATTGAGGTCCCCTCAGAGCCTCGGGCCACCGCGTGCCCGGCGGCGGCCATGCCCCGGCTCACGGCCGCGCCGCCCCGGCCCGCTGCCAGGAGCAGCGCCGCGTCCGCGGCCACGAGCACGGCGGCCGCGGCCCCGGCGGCGCGCCGGGCCCGGGCCCAGCCTGAAGGGGCCCCAGGACACACAAATAAAAATACACACAGATAAAAAGATTCCCCCATATATTTCCCACATTTCCCCTGATGTTTGGTCTTCCCCACCACTTCCCATAGTTTCCCATATATTTTTTCTGGGGAATCGATGATTCATTGTGTCTGTGTGTTTCTTTTCCTCCTGACAGCCGAAGCCCGCGGCGAGCGGCCCCACGGCGGGGGCGGCGGGGGCCAGGCCGTCGTCGCCTTCTCGGGGGGAACGAAGGGGGGGGGATCCCACAGATCCAACGTGTTGCAAACATCAAGACGGGTTTTTTTCGCTACGTTCGGCCCCTAGGGGCCCTCGCCGGGCGCCGGGACCGTCAAAAAACGAGTCAGCACGAAGAACCGGTCCTGGGGAATGGGTCGAGACTTCCCGGGACCCGTCTTGAAAAAATCACGACGTCGGATCTCTGGGATAGCAAAGAGCAGGGTCGATCATCAGCTCACGTAGCTGACTTTCCCGGCGCCACCCGGCGCCGGGAGGCGCCCATGTGTCGAGGAAGGGGCCCGGCGGCGGGGCCGAAACCAGCTGCATGCAGCAGATTTCGCAATCTTTCTTTCCCTATCCCCCCCCTTTCGTTCGGCCCGAGCTGGGGACCACGCTGTCGTCGCCTTCTGAGCCCCCCTCCAGTTCGGGAGCGTCGGCGCACGGGATCAGCCGCGCGGTGCCGCTCATTGGCAGCTGTCGACGGCTGCGCGCCGAAGATCGCCCGCGGGCAGGGGCAGAACTGGGAGGGAGTCGCGCCGGGACGCTGGAGCCTTCCCTTGAGCCGAGATGCGCACAGAAAGGCGAGACGATGATGGTGGTGATGACGAGAGTGATGACGAGGAGCTCAAGCTTCTTTGACATCCTATAACGCGCGTTATGTGGCTGGGTAGTGCGCGCAGAAAGACGAGATGATGATGGTGGTGATGATGAAAGTGATGGCGAGGAGCTCAAGTTTCTTTGACGTCTTATAACGCGCGTTATGTGGCTGGGTGGGTGGGTTCACTGGCGCAGAACATAACACAGTCGTGCCATGCCGCTCGAATGTTCTTTTTCTGCTGCTATTCTCGGTGCTGGTTTAGCGAAATGGCCTTACCGCTGCGATCGCCAAAAGGCGCGTTGACACCGCCATGCCCGCTCTCACCACGCACACTGATCCAAGGCCAGGCTAACGGCGATGTTGCTTAAAGGTGATGTTGGGAACCAAATGGTAGGAAATCACGAACCACACTTTCCTACATTCCCAATCTGCGAGTGGATCGAGCAAACACGACACAGCGAATTGTGGGGAAGCGCGAGCCACGCGTTCCCACACTACCGAAACCTACATCGCCGTTACCTACGTAGCCGTTAGCCCGTCTACGGCTGATGCAGCAACCTACGCATGCACCACATCGCATGCGTACATCACGATGACTGGGTGCACGGTAGTGCTCCTGTGCACCACAGCGACTATGCACACGATTTCGAGCGCGTGCGCCACAACGCCTTTGCACAAGACAGAGCACAAACACTCTCCGCGTGCAACACAGCGCCTGTGTACAACACGATCCGCGTGCACACCACAGCAGCCGCGCGCAGCGAGGTGACTGGCTCCTGCGTGCACCGCACTGTATATTTACACCACAGAGCCCGCGTACACTTCGAGGGTCCCGACGAGGCCCATTGACCGGAACTCGTGTTCGTGAGGTCGGTGCGTGAACGCATCAAATTGAGTATGCAAGTTTTCACATTCAATATGCAAGCTGTTTGTGTTTATTGCTATTGTTTCTGGCCACGGGCATGGCCTTACCCCCGTTGCCTGCGCACATAACAGTATCAGTGTATAGCATAATGCCATGCACCACCACGCCTGTGTGCTCCACAACTGCCGCCGCAGACTGCGCGGGCGCTCTGCACACCGAGCTGCTTGTCTCTTCCAATGTGAGTGAGCCGCTGCGCCTGTGCGTGACAGCCTGCGCGCGCCACGCGCCTCGACATACCACAAGCACATGCCTGCGCACACTGCAAACACGTTGCGTGCCCACTACAATCAGCACACCTGTACGCCAAGCAACAGGCGCTGCTGCAACGGGGGCGGGTGGGGCGGCGGGCGTTCTGTTTCTACTGGGTGGGTGGGTGGGCTGGAGGCCACATAACGCACGTTATGTGTTCGAAAAAAAACTTCAGCTCGAGGACGATGACGATGACGATGGCGGTGGTGATGATGCTGATGATGCTGATGATGAGGAGGAAGATGCTGCTGACGATGATGACGCAAATCCCCTCCAAGGCGGCCTCCAAGGGAGATGAAACACACAAATACCGGAAAGCTTAGCTGAGAAGTCTGTTTCCCGTCACCCGATGAACTCGAGAAGCTAGCCTGTAAGGCTCCATCACACTTGTTTGTTTCGGGAGCCTTTTCGGATCAATTCCACCAGCCCCTTGGTGGAGGTGGTCTAGCGCGTTACCTCTTCCAACTTCCCTCTTCCCCTTCGGGGAAGGGTTTAACTAGTCAATCTACACCCCATGCTCCACCCGACCGGGGAAAAACCCGGGCCAACGAGGGCCCCCTCCTGCCATCTCTGTCAACAAACATGCAACATGCACAATGCGGCAAAATCTTGGGTCATGTCCGCGGGCCCGCGAGCACTTTGTCTTTTTTCTTGACAGGGGCGGCGGGGGTGTCAGCACATGGCTTTCTGTGCGGAGGGCAATCACACTTGTCAAACTATACGGCACACTACACTTCGCGGCAAAATCTGGATCATGCGCGGGCACCCAGCGATCACTTTGCATTGCGTTTGTAACAAGGCCGGCGGGGGAGCTGGCAGATTGCATGATGTTCGAAAGTCCACATGTCAACGCGGTTCGTGCGTTGGTCTTCGACAAAGATGGTGGCAACCGGCATGCTTCCCGCCGTGCGCGGGAGCACCTGGCACACTCTGCGCGTGCCCCGAACGTGGCGCACCTGGCGCGGCTGGAGCATGCGGCACACTTGGAGCACGTGGCGCACCAGGCGTGCCTGGCATGCCTGGGCCCCAGGAGCGCCTGACGCACCTGGTGCGTGTGGCGCGCCTGGCATGCGTGGCGCACCTCGCGGGATACGCGAAGCTTCTAAGAACTCGGATCGAATGCCCCAGCCGGCTTCACCTGTACACCCTGCCTCTGGCACACCTTGTAGACGTATTGAGACCGAGCTTACACTTACCCAAACTCGCTTCTGGGATGTAATGCATCCTTTGGCCCTGCGCCCGCACGGCCCGTGTGGCCATCGACGTCTCGTGGCGCTGAAGGTGGAACAGCCAAGAAGCAATCGTCACTTCGGAGCAGTATGGGCCAGTGCGTGCATAGAAGGCCGCGTGGGGCCCGAGAACGCCTGGACAAATGAGGCATCGTAACTTCGTGGGGGAACTCCAGTACATACTCTTAGGTCGGGCATGTCCCCATACAGGCGCCGAAAAATGACCAATACATACAAATACATCACACATTCTAAACATGCTCAAAAAATCGTCCCCAAACTATTGTTGGACTGTTTTTGAGTATTCCCTCTGTTGAGGGACAGGCCCGACTCAACAATACTCTTACCATCGACGTCAGAATATCGAATTGGCTGGCATTCCAGAGATCAACCGTGCCACGACCCGGACCCCAAGACGCAACACGTGCACGGATGAGAGCTCCAACAACCGAGTCCAATTTCTCGAGCCGCTTCCGGCATGGGGCGAGGGGGTTCGGAAGGATCTTCGAGTTGCATTCCAGATCGCAAACCGCGTAGCGTCTGTATCATCCCTGGGTCTACCTGCGCAACAGAGAAATTGCCTGGCAATAGAATCCCGAATGCGGTAGTTGATGTCCTGTTTCTTCGGTCCAAACATCCTCATGGTCCTCCGCTGGACATGGCATGACCATTTCTTGGCTGGCCGACTTGATGACCACACCGTGTTCTCAGCGACGGCCGAAATCCGCGTCATTGAACGTTTTTACCGATCTGGTAAACGAGATCCCAAATGTGAAAATGTGGTCGCTCCAAGCACTGCGAACAATACGAAGGCCACGCAGCAACATGCCCAACGTGTTTTGCTCGCAACATTCCCTCGCCCAGGCGATGACGTCCTCGACGCTGACCCGCGCGAGGCTGCCGGCGCCGGGTGCGCCTCTTTGGAGCCTGCGCGACCTCGGAGACGTCAGGCTCCGAAGAGGCACTGCACAGGCCAATATATTCCGTCGCCTGCTGAAGGGCCAGCGCCCGACCACGCGGGGAGACCTCCGGGGAAAGGGCCCATGCGCTAACATGAACGGTCGGAGGCCGGCGCCGCTTCGGAACCTCTTTGGATGCGTGGAGACGTCAGGCTCATCGCCGAAGTTGTGACCACTGGCGCCTTGCGCACGTGAGCCGATGCGACCGCACGGGCGAGCGGTCCGCCCCCTTCCAGAAGCCCCCCCCCTGCCAGAGATGAGAAGCGCGCCCAGACCCCCGACGTGAGAAACTCACGACGCCGGCCCCCCGAAGTCTGGGGACCTTCCCTGGGACCGGTTTTTCATCCCGAGTCGTTTTTTGACGCTCACGAGGCCCGGCGAGGGCCTCCAGAGGCAGAAAATTGTCAAAACCCTTTTCGTGAGTTTCTCGCGACGTTGGAGGTCTGGGCATTGTATCATGCTGACTCTCGAAGTCCCCCACTGCCACTGCTGGCACATCCGTTCGGTCCTTCGAACCTCGTGCTTATCACAGAGGGTGCAAGCGAGCCCTGCGTCTGCGCAGGTGGAGGATGAATGGGGGGACGGGGAGAGGGGGGGGTGGACGCTGGGGGCGAGGTGGGGGTGGGGGCGAGGAGAAGGGACGCAGGAGTAGGACGGGGTCGATGGCAGGTGGGAGGTCCCCGCACTCTGCGCTCGCGAGCGGCCTTCGCTGTGCGACCCGCGCGACCGCGCGCGCAGGCGGACCCGCTGGGTGAGCTAGGCCCCGCGCGAGCGGCGACCGACGATCTCAGGAGGTCCTGTTGGACGAGGGGACCTGGGCGGCCAGCGGCAGCGGCGCCGCAGGCTGGCCCAGGGAGGGAGGAGACGAGGGCACCGGGGGACCGACGGGCTGCTCAAGACCTGCGGGAGCGGGTGTGGCGGAGGTGGAAAGGGTCATCCCCGCACGCTGCGCCCGTGAGCGGTAGTTCACGGTGCAAGCGCGCGCCACGCGCGCGGGCGGGCCCTCTGAGCGACGCGGACCCCGCGCAGGCGGCGAGCGACGCTCTTTGGAGACCTTGTTCGAGGAGGGGTCCTGAGCAACCAGGAGGAGGCTGCAGCACCCGTGCTCATGCTCAAGGCCCTTGCGAAGGGTCAATGGTTCGGCGGGCGGCCACGAGCTGCATGGGCCACGGGCCGCCAGCGTCAACATAACTAGAACGTGCCGCTGGTGTGGGCGGCATCAGGCAGCCCAGGAGGCACAGTGGAGACGACGGCAGCAACTTTGGGCACGGCAGGTTCGTGTCGTGCCGACCCCAGCGTTGGTTTTTGACACCGCAGGGATCGTTCAACCTTGAACGTTCGGCCGCTGCCGCAACGTCCGATCGTTCAACATCGATCGATTCTGGGTCGCCGGCGGCGTTCAACCTTGAACGCCCGCGCTGGGGTCGCCGCTGGTCGACACGACGCAAACCTACCGTAACGCTCCGCGCAGGAAGCCTGCCGCCCTCTGCCTCCGCGAGGAGGTGGTGATCAGCATCTCGGCGAAAGAGCTGACGGCCCGCGGAGGGGCACCTCGCAGGAACGCCTGCGCGGATAGGAAGAGCCCTAGGCATCCGACGAACGACCCCGCCTCGGCCGCCACGAACGCCTCCGCAGCTGCGAAGAGGGCAGTGAGTTCCACCAGCGCGCCCCATGGGCGCCTTCCCAGTGGGATCGCCGCGGAGGGCATCTCTCCGCCAGTGGGCTTGCCCATCTCCCGTCGTGTGCAAGCGACCGCGGAACGTATTGCGAAAGGAAGCCCCCCTCCCACCGAACCGTCCTTTTATCGTCGGCGGCACTGGCTGCGGCAGCCGCGCGGGAACACGAGGCCAGCGGCTCTCGCCCCAGGCCTGCCAGGGGGCAACGTGCCCAGAAGGCCCGACAAGGACCCAAGGATGCGGGACACCCGCGACATGGACGGGACTGGCCATCGCTCGGACGTCCATGTCCTGTGTTTTTTTCCGGTTTCGTGCGTGTTTTTTTTTCGCCAAATGATCAAGGATGCTCCTCGATGGTCCTCGCCGAGGGGAAACACGCACACGTCCGAGCGATGCCAAGAGGAGCACCGAACAGCCTACCGACGGGTCGGCAAGACCTCGCAGCGGCGGGAGCAAGCGCGAGGGAGGCAGCGAGCGAGCCGACCACTCGGATGCGGCCAGGGGGCCTGAACTGGTCAGGACCCCAGCAGAATCTGCTGGGAAGGAAGAGGAGGCCAAATCCGTTGAGAATTCGTCCCCGCACCCCTCCCGCGGTCCGCCTGGCACATTTTGTCACCCCTGATCCCTCTTTGACGGTCCTGGGCCCCGACACCGGCCCCGAACCCAACACCTCGAGCCTGCCCGCCCTTCCTGCTGGCCGGAATCCGGGCATGGGCCACCTCCTCAGACCCCCCCGGGCCGACTCCTAACGACCACGACCCGCGACCGCCAGGTCGCGCTGGCGGGGCGCCCTCGACGCCGGGTGAACCCCGCGCGCAGGCGCCCCCTCCCCCCCCCCGCGCAGGCGCTGCGCAGGCGCCCCAGCGCGGCAGAAACGCAGCGGCAGCCGAGCCGAGGAGGCCGACCACCACGCTGAGCAGCGCGGGCGGCAGCCCGCTGCCCAGCACGACCGCCGCCCCGAACCGGCCGGGCCGGTGCCCCCGCGGGAGACGGGCTGAGGGGGCGAGCGCCTTCCCCCCCCCCCCCCGCACCCGAAGCTCCACAATGTGGAGAGCGGAGCGCTCTCCAGAGAAGCGTGGCAAGGAGTGCCCCCGCGGGAGACGGGCTGAGGGGGCGAGCGCCCCCCCCCCATCGCACCCGAAGCTCCACAATGTGGAGAGCGGAGCGCTCTCCAGAGAAGCGTGGCAAGGAGTGCCCCCGCGGGAGACGGGCTGAGGGGGCGAGCGCCCCCCCCCCCATCGCACCCGAAGCTCCACAGTGTGGAGGGCGGAGCGCTCTCCAGAGGAGCGTGGCAAGAAGTGGGGGCCGTCCCCGTGAGCTGCTCGAATAGGGCAGCCTTGAGGACGCCCGCCACTGCGTCTCCCGCCGCCCCAGCGCGCGCGCGGCGAGGGGACGGGCATCCTCGGCGCCGCAGTCGGGCCGGCGGGACCGGGCGCGGCGGGGACAGGACGGTCCAGGGGAGGGGCGCGAGGAGAGGAGCACGAGCATGCGGACGTGCACGAGAAGGAGCATCGGAGGAACTGAAGGAGCAGCACGACATTTTCACCACCTCATCGCTCGGACACCGCGGCCGCAATCCTGCGCCCCACGTGCGTGCCGCGATCGGCCCACCGCAACATCAGCCAGTCGCCAGGCTTCAGGGCGGTCACCGCCACCGCCCGCCAGCCCGCGGCCGCGGCCCCGCCCTCCTCGGCGGCGGAACCCTCCTCTGGACGCGCGCGCAGCCGCACCGTCTCCGCCTGCTGGAAGAAGGCCTGCCCCGTGCGGCACCCGCCCTCGTCCTCGAAGCGCACGCAGAGCACCGGCCGCGGCTCGGTCTTGCACCGGCCCACGGCCACGCTCCGCGACGCGGCCAGCGGGCCGCCCTCCTCGACCGCCTCGGCATCCACCACGAGCACCTCTGCAGAACAGCAGGAGCTTACCAGCCTGGAACATATCCCCATCCCCAAGCTGGGCATCGCCTCATCACAATGCCAATCTCAGGGATCCCCTTCTTTTTTGAGGGCCCATCCCTAAGATTGTCATCGCCTTTTGGCGAGTCAATCGTAAGGATAGGGATACAGTGGGGGCGTTGACCTAAGGAACCCTAGATAAGGAACGAGGCCCCTTTTTACCATAAGTTAAGCTTCGATTTCCCATCGGAACAGGAGAAAAACCTGAGGCAAGCTGTGAAACACTTACGGAACGCGGAGCCCCTCCCCAACGAGAAGGGTTCCTTCTTCAGGGCCCCGGCTGTAAGCTCGAGGCTGGTAAAGGAGCGGCATCCCCAGGCGCAGGCCGAAGGCCGGGCTGACGGCGGTGTTGCTCAACGGTGATGGCGGGAACCAGAAGTGTAGGAAATCACGAACCACATGTTCCTGCATGTCCTACCTGCGAATGGATCGAGCGAACACGACACAGCGAGTTGCAGGAACGCGCGAAGCACGCGCTCCCACAATACAGAGACTCACATCGCCGTTACCCACATCGCCGTTAGCCCGTCTACGGCAGGCTCTCCCGTAGGTCTGCGTGGACGTCTTGGCTCGGCGGCCGTGCCCCTGCATCCCAGACCCCCGACGGAATGATTTTTTCATTACGTCGACCCCCAGAGGTCCCGACCCTTTCCCCATGACCGGCTTTGCATCCTGAGCCGTTTTTTGACGCTCCCGAGGCCCGGCGAGGGCCCCGAGGTCATGATTTTTTCATGACGCGACCCCCAGAGGTCCGGACCTATTCGACGGGCCCGGTTTCTCACCCCGAGTCGTTTTTTGACGCTCCCGAGGGCCGTCAAGGGCCCCCGGAGGCCGAAAATTAGGAAAAACCTCCCGTCATGATTTTTTCATTACTCGAGGGGGTCTGGGATCTCTCTCGGCGCGCGGAGCACGCCGCGGGGCGGCGCCCGTGGGAGCCGCGTAGGGGGGGGGCCCAGCGCCGACCCAACAACAACCTCGCGCGGCCCTCCCACACCTCCCGCCGATGCCGCTCTCCCAGGCCCCCTCGAGCCATGACAACTCGCGACGGGAGGTTTTCCTATGTTTTCGGCCTCCGGGGGCCCTTGCCGGCCCTCGGGACCGTCCAAAAACGACTCGGGGTGAGAAGCCGGGCCCGTCGAATGGGTCCGGACCTCTGGGGGTCGCGTCATAAAAGATCATGACGTCGGGGGTCTGGGCTTGCTCCTCCGACCTCGTCTCCGGCGACCACCTCGGACAAATACTTCGTCCGCCCGTCCGCCATCGCCACGTAGGCGTGCACCGGGCCCGCGTTGATCCGGAAGGGCCGCGGCGGCACCAGCCCGGTCTGCGCCGTCTCGCCCTGCACCAGGCACAGCGCCTTCGCGGTGGAGCCGACCAGGGCCCCCTCGCCCTCGCGCAGCAGCTGGACCTGGAGGACGCGAGCACGGCGCGGGCACAAACACTTGCGGACCCAGAGATCCGACGTCGCGATTTCTCCCAGAAGTCTCGAGCCAGAGCCGTTTTCTGACGGTCCCGAGGCCCGGCGAGGTCCCCCAGGGGCCGAAATTAGCGAAAACCCTCCGTCCTGATTTTTTCAATGCGAGGCCCGCGCGAGCTCTCTGGGACGGCACTGGGCCCCCCCTCCCTTGGCGCGCGGTGCGCCGCCAGAGGGGCCGGGAGCCGACCCGAGACAGCCGCGCGGAGCCCCCGGCGGTGGATGGCTGCGCGCTGCTTCGGCCCTGTCCCCCGGCGTATCGTCTGACCAATCCCCCCCTCACCAGCGGCGAGGCCTGGGCCCCACTGGCCGATGTACCCCCCCAGCTGGGACTCTATACATATATGTATATATGTATGTATATATATACATACACATACATATATACATACATACACACATACATACATACATACATACATACATACATACATACATACATACATACATGCATACATGCATACATACATGCATACATACATACATACATACATACATACATACATACATACATACATACATACATACATACATGCATACATGCATGCATACATACATACATACATACATACATACATACATACATACATACATACATACATACATGCATGCATGCATGCATGCATGCATGCATGCATGCATGCATGCATACATACATACATACATACATACATACATACACACATACATACATACATACATGCATGCATACATACATACATACATACATACATGCATACATACACATAAATATATTGTGTTATATTATGTTATATTCTATTATATACAGGCCGCTCCCTTCGGGTTTCGAGGGGTGCATCCCCAACTGGGGGGTGATTTGGTAGGGGTCTCGAAGGGGATGGGGATGGGCATCCCTCGCCCTCATTCTTCCAGACCTTCCGTGCTGACCTTCTACACTCGTGCGCTTCGTGGAACGCTGACTTTTCCTGCGCTTCCTGAGGCTTTCAATAGTTTCAATGCATCGCCCTCCGCGCCTTCCGCAGAGGTCCGAAGGTATGGTAGATGGAGGTGGAGGGATGGGGATTGGTTCAACGATGCCGAGGTTTATGGCTGCGCGCTGCGCCGGCTCTGCCCCCCCGCGAGGACCAGGTCCAGGCACACCCTGTCCGCCAGGCCCCCGACCGCCTCCACGGCCGTCACCTGGGACGCCCCCAGAGATCCAACGCATTGACAAAAATCAAGACGGAGGTTTCCTCAAATTCCGGAGGTTTTTTCTCAAACTTCGGAAGTTTTTCTCAAATTCCCTACCTAGGCTCTGCCTAGAAGGGTTCTTACTCTCTTAGGTTAAAGGGGCCGGGCAGTGGAACACGCCCCGGGCAGTTCCCCCAGTCCCCTGGGAGCGGTTCCCCCCAGTCCCCTGGGAGCTTTAGCTTTAGCTTTAGCTTTAGCTTAGCTTCAGCTTAGCTGCAGCTTAGCTTTAGCTTAGCTGTAGCTTAGCTTTAGCTTAGCGTTTCGCTTAGCTTTTCGCTTAGCGTTTCGCTTAGCGTTTAGCTTAGCTTTAGCTTAGCTGTAGCTTAGCTGTAGCTTAGCTTTAGCTTAGCTGTAGCGTAGCTTTAGCTTAGCTTTAACTTAGCTGTAGCTTAGCTTTAGCTTAGCTTTAGCTCAGCTTTAGCTCAGCTTCAGCTTAGCTTTAGCTTAGCTTCAGCTTAACTTTAGCTTAGCTTTAGCTTAGCTTTAGCTTAGCTTTAGCTTAGCTGTGGCTTAGCTTTAGCTTAGCTTCAGCTTAGCTTTAGCTTAGCTTTAGCTTAGCGTTACTGTTACTACTAATGCTGCTTTCCTAGGGGTTCCAACTCCTAGGTAGGGTCGCACTGGCATAATCATTGAAAATATCAGGACGGAGGTTTTTCTCAAATTTCGGCCCCTGGGGGCCCTCGCTGGGCCTCGGGACCGTCAGAAAGCGACTCGGGACGAAGAACCGGTCCCGGGGAGTGGGTCGAGGCTTCCGGGGACCCCGCATGGAAAAAATCACGACGTCGGATCTCTGAGCCCGAACTCTCCGGGAGAAACTCCCGCCCGGGGCAACTCCAGCTGCGCCCCCCGACGCGTGAACCAGGAATTGCCCCTGATAGGGGCAAAACAAACCTGCCTCGCTTTTGACCACCCTCGCTTCCAAGAGATACCAGCCGATGCCAAACCATGGCCTGTACTGGTCAGGCCGCTTGACGAGGAGGCGCGTGGTATGACTTGGTTCTGCCTGGAAGCGAAAGCGGGGTAGGTAATTCACGCTCTGACCTGCCCGCCCCCATCCCCGATGATGCCCGAATGGTTTGGCGCCCGAGCTATATCCAGGACAGTTCTGGTCCGGGGCATCCCCTTCGCTCTCCCTCCGGGACTTCGCCTCCGGCTCCTATCCAAGGCGTATACCTTTTCCTGTGCAAGCTCTTCGGCACCGCCTGTACCCCGCGCCCTCTGGCCACCTGAGGCCCCGCCCGCCCGCGCCCGGTCTCCCCAATTAGTGCCTTGCGCGCCCCGCCTAGCTCCTAACCGGAAGAGGCCCGCTCTCGACCCGCAGAGCAATAAAGTTTGGGTCCCCGAGGCAGGAAGCGGAAGCTGCCCCTGCAGATCCCGCTTCCCGGTGCAGTTGCGAACGCCATGGAATTCAACAAGTGCTGTTGGGCGGCAGCATACCCCCGGGGTGCTTCTGCGGTGCTGAATCGTGGCTGCCCGAATCTGCCCTCCAATCCTGGGGTGACCAGAAATGCGGGGCGAACCCAGCCGTAGCGACGAGCGACGAGGGCAGCCCAGATGTCTTGGGGCTCTGATCGCCCGCGCGGGCGCGAAGCTCTCGGCCGGCTCGGGCGCCTCCTCCGCGGCGCCGGCGGCCGCGGCGCAGGCCCGCTCCTGTCTGAGTGGGCGCGCCGCTGCCCTTCCCAAAGGCCTTCTGCTCTCGAGGACGGAGGAGCACGAGAGAGATCTGCAGGAGGTGGGCTTTCGGGCCGGGCGAAAGGGGGGGATAGCAAAGGGGGGGGTTAAGAATCCGCTCACGTAGCTGATTTTCCCAGCGCCTCCCGGCGCCAGAGGCGGCTACGTATCGAGGAATGGGCCCCTCGGTGGGGCCGAAACCAGCTGCATGCAGCAGATTTCGTAACCCCCCCTTTCCCAATCCCCCCCTTTCGCCCGGCCCGAGGTTTGGAGCAATCGGGAGCGGTCAAGAGGGGGGTGTCCAAGAGGGGGGGGGTGCAAATCATGACCGGCGGCATGTGCGCGGCCCAGCGGGGGGGGCCAGGGACGTCGTGAAATGAGAAGGGGCGCCGTGGAATCTGGGGAAATATCATGGCCCCCGCCATGATATCCACCCCCCTCGTTGCCGCCCCCGAGGCTTGGAGCATGAGTGCAGGCGGCAAAACCCAGTCGGGCGGGCCGGGCGGGGGGACCCTCACGGGCAGGTCTCGGGCGGGAGGGGCCCATAGACGGCCGGGGGCGAGCGGGCGGGCCGCCGAGAGCGTGAGTCCAACAGGCAGCGCAGGGAATCTCCGAGCGAGGGCGCGATCCCCAAGGAAACCGCAAGGATAGCCACAGCGAGAACATGGTTCCTGAGTGTTGGGGGCGCGGCTCCGCAAGACACTGCGAGAAAATAAACCAAAAAGGGGAGCGCGATCCCTGGATCCACTAGGAAGAAGTCTCTGGCGAGACCGCCATGTTGGAGTAAACTGCGAGGACGCATGATGCGTGAACCGTTGCTGTCGTAGTTCGGGGCCCAACAGTGCATTCTGAGGCCCCAAACCTTCCATGACAAGCAGGAAGTGCGGGCGATCTCGCCGTTCTTGTTGGATGTCTCGCTGCATGCGGAAGTGGACGGCAGCGGCGGCCTCCCGCGAATGGGCGGTCGCGCGCTGCTGGGCCGGCTCCACGGTCTGGGCATGAGGAGCCCAGCGCAGGCTCGTCGCCCGCAGGCTCTGGCCAAGCGCGCGCATGTCCAGGCCGCGAGGCAGATCCTGTCAGCTTCGTTTCGGGCAGACGTAAGACTCGGGTACGGGGGACTCGGGTTGGCCCGACGGGGCCATCATAAAAATGACGAGGCCAATCTGAAATTTGACGCGATCTCCCGCTGCAGACATCCCACGAAAACTGGACCGTCAAAATCCAGGACGTGCCCGTCAAAAAAACGTTGGCAAACCCGAGTTCCGGCTTACTCGGGTCTTGCGTTTCCCCGATCGTGAAATCAGTGCCCACGACCAGAGGGACGTAAGACCTGGGTACAGGGGACTCGGAAATCGAGTCCTGGCAAACCCGGGTCTTACGCTCCCCCGACACGACCTCGCCGCGAGCGCCCGGGCCCGCGCAGGGAAGACAGGGCTCCGCAAGTCTTCCGTGGCGCAATCCACGCGGACCTCCACCCGCTCTTGGCGCGCGCCCCTTTTTCTCATCCGACTGTGGCCACAGCGTACCGTCGGGGCGTTGACCTAAGGAACCCTAAATAAGGAACGAGGCCCCTTTGCTCCATAAGCTACACTTCGATTTCCTGTCGAAAACCCGAGGAAAACAAAAGGCAAACTGCAGAACAATCAAGGAACACCGAGCCCCTCCCCAACGAAAAGGGTTCCTTCTTCAGGGCCCCGACTGTAGCCGCAGCACGCGCACGATCGAGCAGACGACGTCCACGCTGGTTGGCCGCTCTCTGCTTCGGGCAGCCCCCCGGCACTGTCGGGATCCGTGGGGCACGCGGGCCTGGAGGCGGCCGCCCCCGCCGCCAGGCTCCCTGCTGTGGTCGCCCCCAGGGCTATCAGCGACGTCGGGGCTCCTCCTCCTCCTCCTCCTCCTCCTCCTCCTCCTCCTCCTCCTCCTCCTCCTCCTCCTCCTCCTCCTCCTCCCCTCCTCCCCTCCCCTCCCCCTCCTCCCTCCTCCCTCCTCCCTCCTCCCTCCTCCCTCCTCCCTCCTCCCTCCTCCCTCTTCCCTCCTCCCCCCTCCCTCCTCCCGGGCATTCGGCGTCAGGGCTGGTGCCCCTGGGCCGATTGACGCGAGGGGCGGGTGCGCCGTGGTCGGAGAGCGGCCGATCAGCACCGGTGCCCCTGGGCGCCTTTGTCGCAGCGTCGTCATGGAACGTCCGCGGCGAGCTGGGCGCTGGGACGTGCCGTGCATGGCCCGATGCAGAGCCTCGGCGACCGCTGGCCGAGACGGTGGCTGTGCTTCCCGGCCGTCGGCATAGCGTCGACACCCCTCCAGGATGAGAAGATGTCCCAGGTTGGATCCAGGGTGCTGTGAATGCGGGTAGAGTTGAGTGATGTGCCTGGTCTACCATTGTGCCCCATCTGACCCCGATGGATAGGAGTGCTCCGACGGGCGTTTGCATGGGCCGCGCATTGATCCAATGTGCGGGATCTCGGATCGACGCGCATTGACAACGCGGCGTTGCTCGCCGCCGATGTTGGCAAAAGGCTCCACTGTATAGCTTCCTTTTCTGCGTTCTGATGGCGCGCCCCAGGAAAATTGGTTTCGGGCGAGGACCGGTGCTCCTAACCCTCGGTCATGGAGAAACGCGCTGAAGACAAGGGCATGGGCGCGCGCGAGAGCTCTCATGGGGCCGAACCACAGAAAACCGACGACCCAAAACTGGTGGGCGCTGGTGCGCGGCGGGCTTGGCAGGCGCCGCCGTGCCAAATCCTGCGGGCGCCGATCTTGCCGAACGTAGTTACTCCAGATTTGTAATAAAAGGCAGGGGGTCTGGACCCTCCAAGACAAGCCATTTCAGACCCCCCCCGTGGGAGAACCCTCCAAAACATCGTCCCCAGACCCCCCCCAGGCCCTCCAAGATAGCCTGGAAGAGACGCCCCCCCGAAATGAGACCCCCCTCCCTTTATTACGAAATCTGGAGTACTCGCCCCCACCCCCTGGGCGATGATGGCAGCTAGAGAGGAAGCGCATGGCTGGGTCCAGGCTGCAGCCATCGCGATGGCCCTGGCCCTGCAGGTGCCAACCTGCCTTCAGAATCCCCAGTGCGCGTTGCCTCGATGGGGCGGGAGGGGCCCAGGAGGAGGAGGAGGAGGGGGAGGAGGAGGAGGGAGGAGGAGGAGGAGGAGGAGGAGGAGGAGGGGGAGGGGGAGGAGGAGGAGGAGGAGGAGGAGGAGGAGGAGGAGGAGGAGGAGGAGGAGGAGGAGGGCCCCTTCAATGCGGCTCCGGCGGTGGCGCTGGCATGACGCGCGCAATGCAGACCCCCGGCGTCATGATTTTTTCATGACGCGACCCCCAGAATGGTCCGGACCTACTCGCCGGGACCGGCTTTCCACCCCGAGACGTTTTTTGACGGTCCCGAGGGCCGGTAAGGGCCCCCGGAGGCCGAAAACACAGAACAACCTCCCGTCGTGATTTTTCCATGACTCGAGGGGGTCTGGGAAGCGCGCAATGCCCGAGCATTCGGGTGCCCGCCCGCCTCTCCTCCTGCCGCTGGGCCCCCGCGGGCGCCCGCGCGGGCCTCGCTGGCTGCTAGCCCTGGAGAGGCTCGGTGGCAGGGCGGGGCGGGCTGCCCAGAGATGCAACGCACTGGAGGAGGAGGAGGAGGAGGAGGAGGAGGAGGAGGAGGAGGAGGAGGACGAGGAGGAGGAGGAGGAGGCGGAGGAGGAGGAGGAGGAGGAGGAGGAGGAGGAGGAGGAGGAGGAGGAAGAGGTTTTTCTTTAATTTCGGCCCCTGGGGGCCTTCGCTGGGCCTCGGGACCGTCAGAACACGACTCGGGACGAAAAACCGGTCCCCAGGAGTGGGTCGAGAGACCCCGTATTGAAAGAAACACGACATCGGATCGCTGGGTCAGGCTGTCTGGATCGTGTGGTCTGGGGCCAGCGACGCGGGTGGTTCCGCTTGGCTCGTGCAGGCCTCCAAGTGTGTTCTCAGACTGTGTTGTTCTGTGGACCTCCGACGTCGACCGGGTAGCCATGGCAGCCGACGTCGAGCTGGGCGCCACACTGCCCGCGGGCGGAGGGGACCGGCGAGGCGCCGGCTGGCCTGTCGCAACGACGGCGGCCGTGAATCCGCGCCCTCCGACTGCTGCGCCGCGGCGCCCCAGGAGTGCCATGGCTGCCAGCGCGTGCCACGTGCGGGGGAAGGGCGGCAACGTGGCAGCGAAGGCGTCCACGAGGTCGTCGTCTAGCCGGTTGCGACGGGCTTCTTTTCTGTTACATGATTTTTTTGGCGTCATGTCGCTCTGTGTCGCGCTGTGACTGGCTCGCCTGGGACGCGCTCGCTGCCGACGAGCGCGGCGCCCGAGAAGTGCGCCGCGAACTATTCCTCGAGCGCGGGCGCGACCGCAATAGCTTCGGTCTTGCGGGTGGCAGCTCGGATCCAAGCTGCGTTGCCAGCTGGGTCGAGAGTTACTGGGGAAACCTGCTGGACGCATCTCAGTTCGTCTCGGCCGAGCTGGTAAATCGCCCCTTGCGCGCGTCCTGGCGCAGGCTTGGTTGCTTTGGCCGCGCGGCGCTGGATTGGGATGAGGACCCCGCGCCCCAGGTAGTCGGCCTTGATCGGTCCAAGCACTGCGGCCGCGAGCGGCGCGTCCTGTGTTCGGATGCGCTGTAGCAGGCGGTCGCCTTCCTCTATAGTGCGCGAAGCGAGATGCCACGTCCTTGCGACGCGAGAACGGACGCGGCCCCTGCTGGTCCGCGACAGATTGGCGCCGCATCCCTTCCGTTCCGCGCGCGAGCTGCGGCTCCGAAAGGCCCCCGCCTCGGGGATCTTCTGACCCGAGTCAATCCAGACCCGGGTCAGCAGGAAACCAAAAGCTGCAACGCAGGAACCAAAACACTGCAACGCAGGTCTTCCCAAACCCGGGTCAGCCAACATGTGCGGCCGCCTCGCGGCCACGTCGGGCTCGCTGACCCGGGTCAGCCAGAGGGGGTCTTGGCAGGATCCTGCAGGATCCGGCGCCCTGGCTGACCCCCGTTTGCATTGACCCCCGTCCCAAGACCCCCGACCGCCGCGCACCCCCTGCACCCCGGCTGCCCAAGCCGCCTGGCGGGGGCCGCGCAGAGGTGGCCTTGCCGGAGAGCAGCCCGTCCCGAAAAAAGCCTGCGCCGCCGCGCTCCAGACAGAGCTGGCGGCCTCGCCGCGATGGGCGCCGCACACGGCGAAGCTGCTCGCGGGCCTCGCGCCAAGCTCGGCCCCACGCGCCGGCAACCCCGCGCCGACCAGCGCAGGCTCGGGGGCGAGCTGAGGAGACTGCACGGGGCAAGCAAGAGCAGCGGCACCACGGCGCACGCTTCTCCTCCCCACGCACAGGAACTCGTCCGGCAGGGATTCGCCAAGGACCACGGTCCACGCCGATGCCCGCCATGACAACGACAAGGCCCCTCTCTCATCAGCCCGGATGCGCAGTGTTGAGGCGACGGGACGTCGCGCAGCCCAAGCGTTGATGTGGTAGTGCTCTCTCAATGCGGGAGGGGGAGTTATGTATCGTTTCGATCCTACGGATCATTGGCAGGCCTGGTTTTCTGAGCCTTCCCTCCCGTTCCCAGTTAGCGCCGATGCTCGGAATAAACACTTGGCACAACCATGAATTTGCTGAGATACGCGCGGTTTTCTTTGACTGATGCTGGAGCACCCTGGCAACGCCTCCGCCGCCACCCCAGCCGCGCTGCGCGCGCCAGGGATGAGGGCTCAGCTCGTATCCAACAAAATCACGTATCGAAACCTGACACTCGAGTTTGATTAGTATGTCGACCCTGCCAAATCAAGGGCGCCTTTGCACTGTGGTCCACGACCCGTGCCTTCTTGAGTCCGTGCGGATCTCAGAAAGGCCTTGTGTCGTTGGGAGCGTCTTCCCACACCAAGCACAAGTGTATGTTTATGCGGACGCCGAACTGTCCTTCCCTGTCCCTGGGCGCGTGGCTGAAATGGTGTCCCGCGGTCCGGATTGATGTTGCGTTGCTGAATCCTCATTTGAAGAATGGTTGACACCCCCCTCGGTGCCCATTGCGTTGTTCGACCCCCCTCTGCGCCCTGCGCCCCACGGGCAGGGGGGCCCGCACGCCCCCGGGGGCCCGCCCCAGGGGATCGGGGCTGCCTCGCACGGGAGGTGAGCAGCGTGGAGCCGATCCCCGCCCCCACGGGCGCGGCCTGGGCCACGCGTAGGGGAACAACAACAAGCCATAAACATAAAAACTCGGAGGTCAGCGCGGATTTCTCGCATCGGCGCTGGGGCCCCCCGGCGGCGCCTCCGGCGCCGCCCCTCGCGCGCTCCGCAGATAAGAGAAATCCCCGCGGACCTCCGAGTTTTTATGTTTATGCCACTTTTTTGTTCCCCTAACACTGGCCGGTCCATCCCCCTGGACGGGGATGTGGGCTGTCCCCTTCGGGTCTCGAGGGGCAGATGCCCAACTGGGGTGGTGGGACGGCGGGGATCTGGAGGGGGATCGGTGGAGCGATGCCGAGGAGGGGTCGGGCGGGTCCCACCGATGTTGACCAAAAATACTACCCAGACCCCCGACGTAATGATTTTTTCATTACGTCGACCCCCAGAGGTCCCGACCCTTTCCCCATGACCGGCTTTGCATCCTGAGTCGTTTTTTGACGCTCCCGAGGCCCGGCGAGGGCCCCCGGAGGCCGAAAAATAGGAAAAACCTCCCGTCATGATTTTTTCATTACTCGAGGGGGTCTGGGGAGGGCGCCGATCGCTTTGACGAAGAGCGGAGGCAGCTTACTATCGACCCGACGGCGCAGCTGCGGGCGGTGCGGAGGCCCTATCTCTCGGCGCTCCTGCGAGGCAGTACATCTCGGCGCCTGCGCGGCGCCCCGCAGCGCACAGGTACTGCGAGGCCACCCACCCGCTTAGAGCCAAAGAGTGGTACTCCAGATTTCGTAATAAAGGGAGGGTCCAGACCCCCTCCCTTTTATTACGAAGTCTGGAGTACCTCCTCCTCCTCGCCTCGCCTGGCCCCTCGCATCGTCTCGCCCCTCAGCAAACTCCTTCGTGGCCAAAGCACCTCTGACGCCAGCCCTCGGAAAAAAAAAACATGGCGAACACTCATGCCGCATTCCTCTGTCAACGCCTCCCCCTCCCCCCCAATGCTCAAAGCTGGCGGTGGGTCTGATGAGCTGCACCTCGACCGCAGACCCCCGAGGTCATGATTTTTTCATGACGCGACCCCCAGAGGTCCGGACCTATTCGCCGGGACCGGTTTTTCACCCCGAGTCGTTTTTTGACGGTCCCGAGGGCCGGTAAGGGCCCCCGGAGGCCGAAAACATTTAAAAACCTCCCGTCGTGATTTTTTCATGACTCGAGGGGGTCTGGGACCGCAGTCTCCCCCGCGCGTGCCAACCTTGAGTTCGGGGGGCATACGGGGGCCGCCGTGCGCGAACTGCTTCCCTCTGCCGGCGCCCGGCTCTCCTTCCTCGCCCTCGCTCAGGGCTGCCAGGTGCCTCCGGAGGCCCAGGGGGCCCCCAAAAAGCCTCCGTGGGACCCGCGGAGGCCTCCGGCGACTCCTCCTCGCCCGGCGGGGCCCGCCCATGCAGGAGCGCAGCGCCCCGCAGGCCCGCTGGCGGGACCCGGGGAGGAGCGCGCCGCCAGAGCCTCGAGGCTCCGACGTCCCCCCTTGGGGAGACGGGGGGGGGCCGCTCGGGTGCCCTCTGGCCGCAGGGTGGGGCGGAGAGCGGGGGGAGGAGGACAGAGGTCTCTGGCCTGTGGAACGGCACCAGAGGACTGCTCCGCCTCCTCCTCCTCCTCCTCCTGCTCCTCCTGCTCCTCCTGGTTCTCCTCCTCCTCCTCCTCCTCCTCCTCCTCCTCCTCGCCCTCCTCCTCGTGGCCCAGCGCTCCCGGGCCGGGAGGGATGGAGAGGAGTGGGTGGGAGAGGGGGAAGAGGAGGTTGCCAAGGATTCGCGCGGGGAAGCAGGGAGGAGTGGGGAGGCGTGCCAGACGATGTCGGGCGGGGGGGGGGAGACAGCGGAGAGGGGAGCGACGATAGGCGGGATGGAGGGGGAGCATGGGGGGACGGGGGGGGAATGGGGAGGGAGGTGAGGACTCGGGGGCGGGGAAGCGTATGGGGAGCGGATGGGCAGGCGAAGGAGGCACGGGGACACCGGAGAGGGGGGGGGGTGGGTCGCCGACGCCGACGCCGACGCCGACGACGCCGACGACGACGACGACGACGACGACGACGAGAGAACCGGGGCTGGCTCCTCGCGCAGGCGCACGGCCGCCTGCCACAGCTCTGGCGGCGGCTCGCCCCCCGCGCCGCACGGCAACACCAGCGCATCCACCCCCAGCTGCAGCGCCCCGGCCAGCCCGGCGACCTTCCCCCCAGAGGGCTGGTCTGATTGCTGATTGCTGATCGCTGATGCGTAATCTGGCGCAGAGTGAGGAGGCGCCTACTGGGAGGCCTTCGCCGGAAGAAATTAGGAGGATTAGACCCTATTGGGCGGCTGCTACGCAAAATTAGGACGCGGACTAAGCGGGATTAAGCCGGATTAAGCGGGATTGAGCGGGATGAAGCCGGATGAAACAGGAGTGCGCCCCAGACCAGGGCCAAGCCAGAATTCTACCTCCCAGGAGTTGCATCCGAACGCAGATGATCCCATCTTCTTCTCTTCCTGCCCTCTTTCACCCGCGCCCTTCCCCTTCCATTTCGCCCCACCCGTCGGCAGTTCGGAGCTCAGTTGGCTTAGACCGCGGCGGTCAAAGCGTTTCAGACACGTCGCGAACATGACACCACGCAAGGGAAAACCGGAAGGACCTCCTCCTCCTCCTCCCCCTCCTCCTCCACCCCGTCGTCGTCCTCCTCCCCCCCCTCATCCCCCTCCTCCTCCTCCTCCTCCTCCTCCTCCTCCTCCTCCTCCTCCTCGACCCCTCGGGGATCGAGGCATTGGACGTCCTCGCAGTGTTCCGGATCACGAGTCTAGTCCCCCTCGGGCCTCCAGCAGACTCTGGGGGCCTCAAGGACCGGGGGAGGCACTGAAACCTGCCGAGCTCCCCTAGAAGCCTCCACATTTAAGTCGGGCGTGTCCCCCTAAAGGGGGATTTTCGAGGAAAAAACAAAATACGCAAACAATACCCTAAATATGCCCAAAAATACTAAAAAAATAGTCCCCAGACTATTTTTTGACTATTTTTGAATATCCCCCCTGTAGAGGGACAGGCCCGACTTAACTCCACATCTCTCACACGTACCCTGGAGAATGGCAGGAGCTTCGAAGCTTCCACGCGTGCCGCGGCGTGTCTCTCCGTCTGGCACGCCCTCGCCACTCCCCGTCCCCAGGAAGGGGAAGGAGACAGAGAGCGAGGGGAACACGGGAACAAGGGGAAGGAAAAAGAGAAAGAGAGAGAGAACACAAAGCAAACAATCAAGACAACAAAGTACTATGGCTTGCCTCTGGAGTTACACTATTTTCAGATCTTCCAATGTGACCAACTGCGAAGCGGTGAATTTTCACAGAAAAATGAAGCTATTGCAATTGCTTTCCCTCGCCTCCAGAATCATTTAAATTCGGAATGCAATAATTCCTTAAATCGCCCTTGCCCCTCACTCGGACGGGAAAAATACGGAAACGAACATGAAAACAAACGGAAAGAAACGGCGCGAAACATCCAAGAAAAAGGCGGAACGGAAAGGCAAGGCAACGGTAGAGAAAAAGAGAAAACCAGGAGAAAAAGATACGGAAACGAAAGGAAAAGGAAGGGATCCAGAAGGACAAACGAGGACAGCAATACGACAAAGGAAGACAACGAAAGGAAAAGGGAGGGGCACGGAAGAACAAAAAAAAGGCTCGTACGAGAGGAAACACGAGAGAAACGGACAGACATCGGAGGGAAACTGGAGAAGAACGGAAGGACACGGAAGGATATCTGAGGGGAACGGAAAGAACACAGAAAATCACTAAAGATGAATGAGAAAACGAACAAAGGGAAACGGAAAAACAAATTGTCACTCCAAAACGGGACAGCCAAAGCAGCACGCCACTCGCACCGGCTACGAGACATTGCCTTGCAACGGATCGTGGAACCTTCGGATATCTCACGTATTAACCGCGTCTCGAAAACAAACAGCACAGTCCCAGGACAGACCCCGGACGACATGTCAGACGAGCTGGTTGACTTCTATCGAACTCCAACCACCAAAGATGCAGGCGGATGGTGCGGCCCAGCCGCAGTCCTCAAGATGAACGCGCAGCAAGGCACAGCGACCGTCAGCTTCCGAGGTGCCGAGCAGGCGTGCCGCCTCGGCGACGTACGTCGATTCATGGACATCAGTGCTACGAGTCAACCCACGACACTTCGCGGTCTGCCGTGGATGTTTTGTTTTGTGTTTTTCCCCCCACCTCCCACCCCACCCCCACAACGAAAACGCCTGAATGTACGATCGCTCTCGAAGTCCGCTGCCCCTCAGGGGGGCTATCTCCCGAGCGCACGCGACAAAGCAGCAAGCATCACTGTAGAGACGAAGGCTCCAAAAAACCTGCAATAGCCTTGGACACGGGCAAAGGCCCCCCTTTTTACTCGACGAGGGAGCCCACGAGGCCTCTGAAGAGGGGTGACGTACACTTGGACCGAGCTGTCGCAGGACCGTGTGGCCCTTGGGACTGGGGTGCTGCGCAGGCATGGGGCGATCGCTCACGCGCGTCAGACGCGCGGGCAGAAGCATGCTGCGGGTCTCACCTTCTTCCGAAAGAGGGTCCTCATCCCATGGCCACCGTTCCGACGATACTGATCGGTCTCGCGGCTGTGGCTCTCGGGCTGGGATCAAGGAAGGCGAGGAAGGAGGCAAGGAAGGCGAGGAAGGCGAGGAAGGCGAGGACGGCACCGCAGTCCGCAAAACCTATGGGCAAGCTGCCCTGCGAGCGTGGCACGCCGGCCCGGAGCATGAGATGGAGGTCGGTTCGGGGCGGGCGTCCATCCAATGTCCTTCGTGGGCGTGCTGGGTGTTCTTGCGCATCCCTGGGGAGGGTACCCTCGAAGGAGGAGGAGGAGGAGGACGAGGAGGAGGAGGAGGAGGAGGAGGAGGAGGAGGAGGAGCAGTTGGACCAGCGGAGGATCGCGTGTTCTTGAAGGATGCTATCATGCCCCTGGTCAGGCCGGATGCCGGATTTCGTAATAGAGGGAGGGGGGTTTCATTTCGGGGAGGGTCTCTTCCAGGCTATCTTGGAGGGCCTGGGGGGGTCTGGGGACGATGTTTTGGAAGGTTCTCCCACGGGGTGGGGTCTGAAACGGCTTGTCTTGGAGGGTCCAGACCCCCTCCCTTTTATTACGACATCTGGAGTACCCTCGAATGTTCAGTTGGACCAGCGGAGGATCGCGTGTTCTGGAAGGATGCTATCCTGCCCTTGCTCAGGCCGGATATCGTTAGCTCAGCAGCGAAGACGCTCCAACGCTTCGGCCCTGCCGAATCTGGCGCGGTCACCGCCGTCACTACGACCCGGCGCCAAGTGGCACTCGGTCTCCAGCCCCGAGCCAGGAACGCGTTCAAACCCACCAGCGCTGCTGCCATCCAAGTAGGCCACAGCCTGGACCGCATCGTGACTGAAGAGAATCGCGATGGACCACTCCTGTTCGTACTGGTTGAGGTAGCTGAACGCTGATTCGGAGATCTCGGTGAAGATGAGCTCTACGTAACGCATGGCACAGGGGGCAGCGCCGTTCCTCCGGAAGCCGGGACGCCCCTGGACGAGTGCATTCAGGAAGAAGGAAGATTGTCCACCATCGGCGACGGATCCCATGGGGGCTCCACGCGCGACCAACATCTACTGGACACCACGTGGGGGGCTTCCCTAAACCACGACCAACACATAATTAGTCATGCAGGGCGCTCTGTCGGCAAGTTCAGATACCGTTGACGATAAATTGTAGACCGAACTTTAGCCGGCCCCTCATGCCCACCACCGCGCGCCACTTCCACAGCTGTCCGTCAGCATCACCACCGCCTCACAGAGAGTGCTGCACCCCTCTCTCTCCCTCTCTCCACGGCGGAGGGCGCCGAGGTCGACGAGAATAGAGCTGCTCGCGTGGAAATGTTGGCCCGGAACAAATCCACGAGCTTCTTCTCGACGCGCGCGCGCGCCTCTGGGTCTACGCGGCAGGATCCAAGAAAGCTGCGGTCGAGCGTGACATCGACCAACTCACCCCCGAAGAGTCTCGAGAGCACGCGGCAGCGGTCGCAACCGCAGTGCTCGAGAAACTGCATGCATGGGTTGATCTCACCTGCCTGTTACGGCGCCCGCGCCGAAGAGCGCGCGACATCTTTGATTGCGGGTGGATCACCCGCATGAGGCTGACGCTCCGAGCCTTCAAGGACGTCGGCGCTGATCAAATCGCGCCATGCGCCAGCGCTTCGTCGCGATTGTCTCCGAGGCAACCTGCCGAGCATGGGCCATCGGCGCGCGGGGGGGGCCATAGAAACCGCCCTGAAAAATACTCAACTGCCAGGACGTTGCAGCAGCCGCGGGTGAGAAGGGGCGCGGCGTGAACATCGAGCTCCCCCCCGACGCTGCCGCATTCCTGCGAAGGGTAAAAAAGGCATGGGAACTTCGACCCGACACTAGATGTCCTCCACCATGGCGAAACGAGCCACACGGTGCAAATATTACTGGCCAGGTGTACCTAGCCATCCCTACTCTGTGCGGCGGAGGGTCCATCGCCGAACGCGAAGATGGCGAGCTTGCCCAGCTGGGCACCAATCGCGTCGACGAGCTCAAAGTAGCAGGACTGACCCATGAGAAACACAACGTACGAAGAGATTCGAGGGTGCCTTTGGCAGGGGCGAGCTGGAGATTGGCAGTGGGGCCTTCGCGACGCGGGGCGCGACGCTCGCCCGCGCGCGACGGTGGATGCGAGCTGGGCCAGATCTACTATATCCAGGCCTTGAAACCAATCGGTCGCGCCGAATTCGTTGGGAAGCCCAGCTCGAGGCCCGCCTCCGATGATCTGGCCGAGGCCGCGGCCCTGGCCCTCGTCGCGCGGATTGGCCTGCGCGTCGGCGCGGCGCCATCCCAGCGCAAGCTCAGTATTCTAGCGAGATGAAGCCAGGACGCGCCGCTGACAGTCGGGGCGTTGACCTAAGGAACCCTAGATAAGGAACGGGGCCCCCTTTTTCCACAAGTTAACCTTCGATTCCCTACCGAAAACATAAAGGGAAACCTGAGGCAAGCTGTGAAACACCTGAGGAACGCGGAGCCCCTCCCCAACCAAAAGGGTTCCTTCTTCAGGGCCCCGACTGTATCCACCGAGGCGCTGCGCCGGCAAATTGAAGGTGCGCAGCGACGCAGCAGCCAGACAAGCGCATCCAGAAGGCGTCGGCGTTGGA